AATGAGACTGTAGCCTAAAGTCTGGACTCCTGGTTCTGTTCTCTTTCCACAGACACAGGGCTGACTGGAGTTTTACTCATTGGTAGAGTGATTCTTCCGGAGATCTAGAATTAGCATTTCTCACTGGTCTTGCTCTGTCTGAAAGCACTGTCTTCCCTGCTTTCTTCTGTCCTCAATTGGAATCTTCTGAAATAGAACAGGCTTCATAGTTTATTTTGGAGGCAAGAAGAGGAAACGCCAGTCAGAGAGTGGGCAAGTGATGCAGGAAAGGAAAGCAAGCCTACAGAAGATGCTCAGGTTGATGTTGAGGGCAACTGGAGCTCAGTCCTACAGAGAAACTCCAGAACTTATTTTGAGTTGTTCTCCCAATGCTTAGGAATGAGGGCACTGGGTTGTTGCCTACTAATTCCTAGTGGTCACTGGTTGAGGGACAATCCCCTGGGAGTGCCAGTTTCTGTAATACCTCCAGCATGCCTTGCGGAAGCCACTAGTGAGTATGCTTAACCCTTAATGGTGCTAAGGCACTGTCATGGTGGCCAATTACTGGGTAACACATTATTACAAACTTAGAAACCTGAAACAACACACTCCCTCAAGGTTTGTATGGGTCATCACTAGTGCCTGGGCATGATGTATTTGGGTCATCTGCTTCAATGTGTCTTTCAGGCAGAAGTCAGGTATCTGTGAGGGCTGCAATATCAGCTGGTGGCTCAACTGGGACAGGACCTACCTCCCAGTTTATGAGGTGGTGGCAGAAATATGTCTCTCTAATATGGCTATTTGTTTCATCAAAGTATGTAAGCCAGGAAGTCTAGAGAGAAATGCATGTAAGCTGGCTGTATGAAGACCTACATAGTGATAGTGATAATCTATCTCCTTTGCTGCCTACTCTTGGTCAGAGGCAATTCCCAAGGTCTGCCAGCCCCCCAAAGGGGATTGTCCAAGATCAAGAATACCAGGAAGTAAAAATACCATGGGGCCTGTTCTCTTCCTAAGTTACTACTTGTCAGAAACATTTTCTGTCAAGAGACTTAGCAATTAGAAATAATTTCATTGTGAATTTAGGGGCTAGCCAGATGAGTTTACCTGGCTCTGACACGAAGTCACCTATGTTTTTCTAGTAAGGGCCTGATACCTTAGGTTTTGTGCAGTGAGGACTCTGAATTTTAGAGATTTCTTGTGACAACCTGTGGAGCTCACTAGTCCATTTCCTTTCTTGGATTTCAGTGTGAATTGAGAGTTGAGTAAAAAAAACCAACTAAAATTTTTAATCATCTAGGTGATTAAATTGGAAATTGAGATGTTTTATTTATTATGTGGTATTAAAAAACTCCCATAGACATAGGATTGCACTATGCGATCTTGTACTCATCATGTTTCAGTGGTGTCTGAGAGAAAATGATAAATATATCTTTTGATTCTGTGATGGCTAGAAGAGGAGAATCACATTTATTTTTATTTATTTATTAGTGAAACACCATGAGGTACAGTTGTAGATTTACAATTTTTTGTGCTTGGGTTTCAATTATACAATGATCAAATACTCATCCCTCCACCAGTGCCCATTTTCCAACACCATGGATAATATCCCTCCCACCCCCACCTCCCCCATCCCACCCTGCCTCTGTGACAGGGCAATCCCTTTTGTTTTCTCTCTCCTTTTGGGTGTTGGAATCACATTTATTTTTGAAGAGAAAGAGGATTATCAGACTATGAACCTTACCAGTATCTTGTACCTGTTCTGCTATCTAGTTGATTTTTTTGTTCCTTCTGAGGAGCCATGTGTTGGGAAGTGGTTAAGGTCCCCCAAGCTCTGGAGTCATAGTACTTGAATTTGAATTCCAGCTCTGCTCTAACCCTCTAACTCTCCGACCTGGGGAAAGTTACCAAACCTCCCTCTGCGTTTTCCTTCATATATAAAATGGGGTAATGATAATATCATTCTCCTAGAGTTCTGGTGAGGATGGAATGAATAAAAAATGCATGGAAACCCCTCAGAACAGTGACAAGAGTTAGTAATGTTTTGCTATTATTTGAGAAAGCTGAATGGCACACCAGGAAGAGAAACTTTTGAGTGATGGAGATGACTTGTGGAATTTACAAAACTCCTCTATTTCTAGTCTAAACAAAAATTCTCCATTCCTGTTTTGGCTTCTGTGTCGGAACAGGGCCTGCCTATTTGTGACTTCAGGGCCCTTTAGAAGGTGTTCCTGAGTTCCAGATCATATTAGGCACCGACAGGGCCCAGCCACTTGAAGTGTTCCAACAAATAAAGATGTGGCCAACTAGTTCTGGCCAGACAGGTCTGTGTCCTGGCCCTTCTGTCAAGTTTAAATAGGGGAGATACAAGAGGGCCTATGGACTCATCCTAAAGTTAGAGGGTACCCGAAGGAGAAGCTCTAAGTGGGGAAGGAGAATACTGGACCAGGGTGCTGGCAGGGTCAGGAATTGGGGTGGGTGTGGGCAGAGCAGAAAGGCAGCCTTTGCACTGGCCCAGAAATGCAGTGCCTGCCAGTGGCTCTCGGGTTGTTGGGGGGGAATTTTCTCTTTTTACAGGAACAATAGCTTTATATCAAGTGGCCTTTCTTAAATGTTAGGGAGCCGAAGAATCGCTGGGGGAGGTGCTTGTTAAAAATAGGGATTCTGGGACTGCCTGCAGAGAGTCTGATTCACCAGTAGCACTGCAGTGTGGGCCTGTTGTTGGCACAAAAGTGGATTTTCCTGCGCTGGTGGGTTCTTAGCATTGTATAAAAGAGTTGCATACAAAATTCGGTCGATGAAACGTTTGAGTTTATTATACAGATAAAGTTGATAGGTCCCTCCCCAGATGTCCAGGTCTCCATGACCAGGTCCTGTCCCTCATGTTGCCTGGTCCAGTGAACAATTTCCCTGTCCTGTCCTGTGCAGTTTTCTTGTCTCCTAGTCTTGTCCCTGCTCCAATCTAACCTGTGTAAACTTTTCCTGGTCTCCAGCCATTGCCAGGAGGGTGAGACCCCTGTGCTTTGTATTCTGTCCCTATCTGGGCCTCGGCGGGGTCTGTACTGGGTCATGTTTCCCAGGGGTTGGGGGTAGGGTGTGTGTCTGAGAGAGTTGAGTCCAGAGACTTCTGCTCAGGAGAGAGAGAACAGGGTGGGAGGTGGTGCTAGGGGCTTCCATTTATCTGCTATCACATCCCACCCCAACCATCCCATTTTACATTCTGATTGGCTACCTGTTCCATGGGCAGAGGTTTTTTTTTTATTTTTTAATTTTTATTAGTGAAACATCATGAGGTACAGTTGTAGACTTACAAATTTTTGTGCTTGGGTTTCAGTTATACAATGATCAAGTACCCATCCCTCCACCAGTGCCCATTCTCCACCACCAATGATCCCAGTATCCCTCCCACCCCCCATTCCCCCATCCCATCCTGCCTCTGTGGCAGGCATTCCCTTTTGTTCTCTCTCTCCTTTTGGTTGCTGTGGTTTGCAAAAGAGGCATTGAGTGGCAATCATGTTCGGTCTGTAGTCTACTTTCAGCATGCATCTCCCATCCTGGGAGGATCCTCCCAGCACTCTCTATTTGGTGCTCCCTTCTCTATCTGAGCTGCCTTTTCCCCTAGCGTGTGCAGCTGGCTTCCAAGCCATGGAGCGAACCTCCTGATACTTATCTCGGCTATTCTTGAATGTTAGTCTCCTATTTTGTTATTTTATGTTCCAGAGAGGCAAAAAAGTATAGTCGAAGTGACATCTGCACTTGTTTGTTCATTGCAGCACTGTTTATAATAGCTAGAATCTGGAAAAAACCTGAGTGCCTGAGAACAGATGACTGGTTAAAGAAACTTTGGTATACCTACACAATGGAGTACTATGTAGCTGTTAGAAAAGATGAAGTCATGAAATTTACATACAGGTGGTACTACATGGAGATTTAAAGTGACCGGGTGCTGCACACCTGAGCTCCTGCTGCATCACCATTTTTAAATGGGATTTCTAATGGCTATGGTACTCCAGGTACTGTTAAGAGCTAAGGGGTCCTGAGCTGTTTGGGGAGTGGTGACTAAGGGCTTTTCTGGAATTTGTAGTTCCCCTGCAGTCTTTCTTTTTGGGGTGTGGCGGGGTGCAGTGGTGCCCAGGAGCTTTAGCTCTGTGCTCAAGATTGACCTCTGGCAGTGCTTGGGTGACCAGATGTGATGCTAAGGGTTCGAACTGCGGGTTAGGGAGGGGAGGATGTGAGGTAAGCACCCCACCCCCTGGATTAGCTCTCTGGCTCCTGCAATCTCATTTTTAAGAGCACTGAGAATCAGTGTTGATTTAGGGAGCTTTGGGGACCTGATGGAATTATTGGTATCTAAGGTCCTAAACTACCACTTGACATCTGTTCTCACTGGGGGCCTGGTGTTGGCAAGCTCTGTCAAAGAAGTATTAGACACAGGCAGGGCAATGCTGTTTTGTAGAGCGTGTGACCAAGTCAAGGTTATCTAGCCTGTCCACACTCCCCCCTCCCCTTTCCCACTCATTACCCACCCTTTCCCTTTGAGGAGCGAGACCGGGTGAGAGGGGGAAGTTATGAGAATAAGAGGGAGCTGGACCCAGAGCCCAAGAGAGGAACCAACCATTTTTCACCTACTTGAAACATCACCAACAATTTTTATCCTAGCTGAAGATGGAGTCAGAATTAGGATAGGGACGCCTGGGGCAGTTTGCCTCTGGCAGAGTCAGACCTTATAGCTCACCAGTCCTAAGCTTATCCAGACCTCTAATAGAGTTCATCTTCTGAGACAGACTTTCCAGACCAAAAAAACATTCCAAGGGGGAAGATCTTATTATTATTAATTTTTTTATTTCTCAGCAGTGCCAGGGAGGTTGCGGGTTGTCAGGGAACACCCCCTTTCCTTTGCTCTTCCTAGTACCGAAATCTTCCCACACACTTGCGGCCGGCCAGGGCGGCCGTGGGCAGCGGGACTGCGGCAGCAGCAGGCAGCAGCGCAGCGCGGGGCGGCGGGCACTGCAGGCGGGCGGGGGCACTGCAGCACCGTGGCCCTCTGGCCGTGCGTGCGTCCGGGCAGCGGCCCCGCTCGAGGGGGCGCTGTGGGTCCCGCCGTGCGTCCTTTTGTCAACGCGCACGGCCACGAGAGCTCGCATTTCCTCGCAGTGTCGTGCGGGAAATGTATTTCCTCCTGGTGGTGGGGCGGTGAGGCGCGAGCGAGCGGGAAGGACGCCTATTGTCGCCGAGGAGTCGCCTCCGTGGTCTCCGGCGCCCGGTGACGCGGAGACGTGCCCGCGCGGGTGGGAACTGCAGGCGGCTCTGCCCAGGGGCGCCGGGGCTGTTCGGGGATGGGGAGCAAACAGCGCTCCGCAGACTAGCCGGGTGCGTGTAGGAGGAGGCAGACCCCTAAGAGAAACAACAACAAGAGGACGCAACCACCCACCTCCCCAGCACCCCGCACCCCGCAGTGGAAGAGCAGGGATGGATAAGATGCCGTGCAGCAGGTACGCCTGGCCGGGGGGGAAATGGGCACCTTGGGGCTGCCCGGGGTTTTGTTGATCTAGTTCATTTTCGTGGAATCGGAGCTTCTCTCTCCAGCCACCCCTCCCTGCAGCCTCCCTGCGCCTTGCGGGGCGGGTGCGGGGAACTGTCTGGTCCGCAGCGGCGAGCATCTCCGAGGGAGCGCGTCTGTCTGCGAAGCAGCCCTTCCCGGGGGTGATTGATTGAAGGGTTCGGGGGATGATGTAACATTGGCGGTGCTTGGGAAAGCGGGGCTGCCCAGCGCCGGCCTCCCCTCGGGGGGCCACCCAGGTGGGGCGTTCTCCTCGGGCCCCCGCTCGCTCGCCGCCAGAGCCGCCCCTCCCAGGCGCTGCGCCCCGCCGCCGCCGCCCTCGGGGGAGCCGCCCCGGCGCACGGGCGCAGGCGGGGCTGGTGCGCTCCGGCCTCGCCGCTGCAGCTGCGCCCCTGCAGGTGCCGCGTCGCCAGCCACCGGCTTTGGGAGTGGGAAGGGCGTGGAGCCGCCTGTGAGCTGGCCGGGTGGCTTTGGATTTTTAAATTTATTATTATTTTTTCAATTTTTGCACTGGCGGCGGGGCTGAGGATGGGGTGGAGAAGCCCGTGTCCCCGAGGAGGTCTTGTTGGTCTGTGCTTCTCTTTGCTTTCAGCTCCCGCCCTTCTGCTCCCCTGCCTGGTTTCGCCTCCTGCACCCGGGCAGGGGCCCCATCTCGGACCAAGAAGGGTGGGTAGGCGCGGGGTCCGGTCCCGCTTGTTTGGGAATCGCGAGAAGAACCGGATGCCTCCTCCCTACCTGGGGTGGGGGGAAGGGTGGGAGCGAGCGGGCTGCTTTAGGATTCTGGTCAGGCTCCAGCTCCAGCCTATTGTCTTGCGTTTCTCCCCTTCCTTTTCTTGAGCTAGAGAGAGAACCCAGCCCACACCCTATCAAATTCTTTAAAAAATTGAGATTTATCCGTGACACATGATGATTACCCATCTGTTTCTTTACTCCCACTCTTCCCTCCTCTTGCAGTTTGTCAGCTAAGATGGACTCAAATGAGCCTTGTTAAAAAATCTGAGTCGAATCTGTTTTCTACATTGACGTTTTGTGCTTTCTGACCCCCGAGGTTCTTCTGGCCTCCAGGTGGGAGACGGTTCGAGTGCAGACCCCTCTCCCCTTCTTGCACGTCTAGGTTGCAGGGGCCTAGGAGCTATTTAACTTGGGTCGCAGGTGTTTCCTTATTAATGGGACCTGCAATTGGTATTTCACTTAAAGGGGAAAGGAGTTGGCCTGCATGTGAAATGCGAGTAAAGTAAGTGAATGAGCCTGAGAACCAGAAAGAAGTGAAGTTTCAGACTTGCAAGTCATGCTTCTCCCTAGGTATGCATCTTATGAGTTAGGATTTTTTTTCCTTTTTTCGGGGGGGGGGGTCATCCAAGCGGTGCTCTTCTGGGGACTACTCCCATTTCTGTGCTGAGGGGTGGGGGGCATTGCTCCCAAGCAGTGCTGGGGAACCAGGAGGTACCAGGGCATCAAACCTGGGCCTCCTGAATGTAAAACAAGCACACTGCCCCTTGAGCTTTTTCTCTGGCACCCTATGTTAGATGTTCAAAAGAGATTTAGACCACTTAATATTTGTACCTTATAGTATGCTTCCATTCACTAGAGTGACCAGACTTTTCTCACTCTATAGTTCCTGAATATTAGAATCTTGCCCAGCGCCCCCTAATCTACCTCCCACTCCCTATTTTCCCAACCTCAATAAAATACAATAAAAATGTACTTGGGGATGGGTTCTCAAGGAGAGACCAAGTGTCCTGGGGGGCTCCTCTTGGCAGTTCCCTGTCCACCAGGCTGGTGTGGTGCTGCTCAGGCCCTGCACTGCTGCAGACCACCGTGTTGGTGCCTGGGAGAGTCTCCAGGGCAATGCTGGGGGACACGTATATGAGGTACCCTAATCTTTGTACTATATTCTCCAACCCACAAACTTCATTATTAGTATGTCATTGCATTTTGGGTAAGCATTAAAAGGAAATAATTCTTTTACCCCAAACCAATAACTTTTTTTTTTTTGTGACAAGCACCATGTTCTTTTACAGCCATCAAATTGCTGAGCCCTATTAGAAATGTGCTTGTCACAGTGACAGTACATAGCTCTGCCTGGAGTAGCACACCGGGCTTAGTTCCTAGGTGTGGGCTGATTTGCTTTCATTATTATGTTAGTGCTGGAACTGCCAAATCTTGGCTGTTCTTCAGAATTTACAGAGGATCAGATGTGTTTGTTGCTGTTTAGAGTTCAAATATGGAAAAGAAAACTTTAATAAATATATTAATTTGTCATGTTATGTAAGGAATTTAAGACAGCTTACAGGGGTACACAAAATCTAGCAAACTAGGAAAACAGCAGACAGAAAAGGAAAAAGCAAATAACTCAAGAGGAGAAAAGATATTAAGAATGAGACTAACACAGAAACAACAAGCACAAGACCCTCTACACTTGCTGTAAGAGGAAAACAAGTATAGCTCTAAATGTTTTGGCAGCTCATACAGAAGGGGAAATTGAGCAGACCATGGCTCATATACTTTATTCATTGACTCAGTCACTCACTTGTTCACTCAACATTAATGTTCAGTAAGGGCAAGTCAGCCTCCATGAGCGCTTCTAGGAACTAAGCAGTAACGTGAACTTGGGTTCTGCGCAGACAGCACTTACAGGTAAATACAGGAAGCAGGCACACGCACACGGTCAGAAGTCTTAGATAAATATACAATTACAAGCTGTGATAAGAGCTGTGCAGGTAAAACACAAAGTGGAACACAATAGTTCTTGATTCTAAGATCAGAAAGGAGCTTCTCTCAACTATGGCACAAAGGTTGGAACAATGTCTTCAATTATTTCATTGTGAGACACAAGCATGTGTTTCACATAACTTGTTTTGTTTTGCTTGGCATTACCAGGTAGTTGGGAGCTACTCCCAAATTAGTGTTCAGAGGGTTGCTCCAGCGGTGCTCAGGGGACCATGCAGAGCCAGGGATCACAGGGCTCCCACATGTAAAGTATGTACTCTAGTCCTTTGGCACATCTCCCCTACCCCTAATAATTACTTTTTAAAGAGAAGTCACTCTTGGGATTCTGGGGGTAGGGCCACTAACTGCATAGTTGAGCCTAGTATGGGGACCTCAGGATGCTGATCCAGGCCTCTTAGGGCCATGGCTCACCAGGGCCTATCCCATGTGATGCTCAAGGTGCCATGCTGTGCTGAGAAATAGAACTTAAGAGCTATGCTTCTGCTCTACTCCTTGAGATATCTGTCTGGTTCTCACAGGACAGGTTTTCTGGTTGTATCCCTCAGTGTGATCCATGATTTCATCCCATTGACCTCTCAGACCCCTGGGATTCTGTGGATAGTTCAAAGGATCTGTGTATTGCCTTAGAGCTTTTTATTTCAGTGACAATGTTAAATATAATAAAAATGTCTTCTGGATCATCTTGATGGCAACCCTGAAGCCAGACCTTGGCTTGTGTTTACTTCTGTAGCTTCCCATCTGAGGCGGGGCAGCACAGATGGGGGAGGAGGAGAGGAACTCAAATAGAAATACATGGAGAGAGGAGAGTCCCCCAGGGCACAGGTTTGTCAAACTCAGAAAGAACAGCTCCTGGCAGCCACTGCTACATTGGCAAGGAATGCAGCGCTTATGCCAAGTCCACCTTTGTATGGACCAAGTCACGGTGATTTTCTAACAGCTGATGTTATAGTGAAAATGCAGTGAGAAAGTGGCTGCTGTGGTTTCAGCAATAACTGGATTAGATCTGCATTTAAAGCAGAGTTAGTAACCCCTAGCAAGTACTTATGTCCAAGCCATGGAGAGGGGTAATTTGGGATATGGTTCTCTGGATCCAGACTGTCTGGTTTCAAATCTGCTTTCATATTTATTTGTGAGATTTGAGGGAAGTTCCTCAACTTTTTCAGTATAACGTGGGCATAAGTATGTGGTATTGATTTCATGGAAATACTGCAAGAGTTGGAGCAAATTGTAAAGTCAAGAAAAGTTAGCCATTATCACTGTTTTGTTGTTGTTGGTGGTAACATTTTTTGGCCTAAGCAGTGCTGAGGGGTTTGGGTAGGGAGCCTGGGAGCCACTCCAGGTGCTCATCTCCAGTGGATCAGTGCGAGGGCCTGAGATATGGTGCAACTTGGGTCCTGTAGTGCCTGGGACACCAGGCCACCCCAGTGGTGCTCAGGGCCCTCCAGTGTGGCAGATGATGGTGCTTGGGAGGTGGTGCCGAGATTGAGCTGTGATCAGGTGTGTGCCCTGCATGATCCTCCAACCCAGAAATTATGCCTGTTTTTTATTGGAGTAAAGGTTTATTACTTATGAAGTTAGTCCAGGAGGGTTTGGTGCCGAAGTTAATATGAAGATATCTGTTTATCTGTAAGTAGCAAACACTGTTTTTAAAAGTTATTAATATTATTTGGCTTTATGAGTTATCTACATTAGTATTGCTAAATTTAAAAAAAAGCAAATAAAAATGATAATAGTAACTAGACCACAGACTGTGTCTTTCTATGGTTCAACCTAAAATGATTTAATTTCAGCAAACCTGTATTATCTATAGCAGTCAATTACTTTTCTTGTAATTCTAAAGTTTGATAGTTGTATTTATTTGTACAGTTGTTTTGGTGTTTTAGTTAAGTAAAAACTATAATGTGTGGGTGTTTAGAGCTATGCGTGTACATGTTTGTTACATTTTGATAAGTGATTTAGCTCAGCCCTGAGTCCATGAGAAATTTTTCCCATCGAAGGAGATTTCTAATACAATTTGAAATTTTGAATTGTGATCAAGCCACACTCAAGATTTTTTTTTCTTTTTGGGTCACACCCAGCGATGCACAGGGGTTACTCCTGGCTCATACACTTAGGAATTACTCCTGGTGGTGCTTGGGGGACCATATGGGATGCTGGGAATTGAACCCGGTTTGACTGTGTGCCTGGCAAACGTGCTACCCA